CAACAAACTAGACGGTGATTCTTTATATTTACATTATTTTATATATGTGCAATAAAACTGTTAATATAGATAAAAAAAAATGCTGTCTAATAGATTTAGAATACTCGAGGCAACCTATGTTAATTTCACTAGTCCACGCCCACTGACGATCAGACACAAAGACAGCCGCTCGAGATTGGCATGCATATTAGGCTTCTGACCTTTCACTTGGCGAAATTTACATTCAGGTGTAATTATCAAGAAATCAACTCACCTAACTTTCAGAGAGTTATTGCAGAGAAAACAATTATATATGGTGGCACCGGACCTCGTTAATCCCGACGCTTCCATCCCGAATGAAATCGTCCCAATAAATAAATGAATCTTTCGGAAATTGAATCACTTCTCAAAAAATAAAACTATTTTATGATTATTCAAAGTCCTTAAATAATAGTTATTCAAACCCCTTTGAAAATTGTTAGAACTATTCAGCATCTACACATTGAAAATATTCTATTACGTGTGTAAACAAACTACGTATATTCATTACATAGGACTGCAAGTAAATGAATACTGCAAGCTAATAACTCAAACACGCGTAATCAGTGCAAGTATAGTAAACATTTACCGTAAACGTAAGCTATCTTCATGATTATCTTTTTTTCTTCAGGATCTAAGTTTAGATTTTGATTTAGCCATAGCGTTTAGAATACTGCTTGAATGTCACTAATGGTTATTTTTGCGCTATTTTTCAATTTCCCAACAGAGCTACATGTAAAAAAAAAAAGGCGCAAACTGCAGAGAATATGAAGATGAACACACAATAAAAAATATAAGAATGGATAATTTATTTATTTTGAAAAAGTGAATTTATACATTTTTGGCAACAAATATTTAAAAAAAAAATGCTACGAAAAATTACGGAGTGTATTTTTTAAGCGTTTAGAATAGCAAGTGTTTTCTACTACGTTTATTGAATCATAACATATGTATAAATAAAATATTATATAATTTTTATATAACTTAAAGAAATGGGTGAGATTGATATTTGCAGATCTAATAGAAGTTTATTTTGGATTTTTCTCCTATTATTACTATCTAGAAATGAATAATTTTTAAAGAAAAACAATTCTAAAGGGCTTGGAAACGGCATGTCTCTGTTTTTTTTTTTTAATTTGCATAACAAATGCGTCTTGGATAAAGACCACCAAATGTGGTGTAAGAAGTTTCACACGTGCACCTGGTTGCCATGGAGAGAAATCTATTGAATGTAACGCATTTTTCTCTGGTAAACTCAAACATAAATCATTGTATTATAAGAAAACTATTAAGGTATACAGGGCATATCATTGTTTATTCCAGAAATATCCCCACTTAAGAAAAGACGGGGTCTATGCAAATGTTAAAAATGAGAAAATTGATATTTTTTTGAGAAATTTAAGGCAAAAATAAAAACAAATCAAATCTTATGTGTGTTTTTATACTGCTGGATTAGTAGTGTGATTTCAGAAAAAAACGTAACGAGATATCATTACTATTTTTAGTAACATTTATTTATAAATAGACATGTTTTAGAAAATGTTAAAAAAAAAAAAATGATCGCACTATCAACCGAAACCTTGATGGTGCAATGATGCAATAATTGACCACCTGACCCTATCCAGATTCCATAAACATGCCCTGGATGTAAGGAATTTTACATCGGAGAAAAAACAACCACCACACTGTAAAAATTGTGTTTAGGAAATAAACACTTCTATTACATGTTTAGATCTAAACGTGTATAGCATTGTGTTTAACAACTAAACACTTATGTCTTAACATGTTTTAATTCTAAACGCGTTTAGAAATTAAACACGTTTTACTGTAAAGTGCAGAGTTATCTTCCCGGAAATGACACATATATTTGAACGTTAATTTGAGCGGCTATCTAAACAAAGAAAACACAACAAGCTAAGGTGATGTATCAATGAGAGTTATGACAAGGGATAACCATGACGAAATAGTGAAATACGTGAAAGGGCATCTTATTACTGCAATACATTAAAGGTTTGTTTTCTTTTTCTTTGCATTAATTAACCACGATGAGCAACGTAAATAAAGTTGACTTGGGATATCTTGAATTCGTTCATAGACTTGCAGGAGAGGAAATACATGTAATATTGAATGTCCTTAAAAACATCTATATTTATATCAGTATAGTTTCACTAAAAATTGAACATTTTTGTTTTTCTAAGTAATGTAAAATATCAGTGATAGTGTACTTTTATTACAATCTGGCTTTCTTTCCTACAGGTACTGTAGTCCAGATCGAATACACGTATTAGAGTACCTGGTTTCATCTTCAAGTGCAATTTTGTTGTTCCATAATCAACACTTTGAAACTTCATTTTGTGAAGACTACCGAGTTAATTCGACAGTGTTTACAATTATCCTCGTGCATTCGGAATGGGTTACTTTCTGGCAGTTATTGATGGGATATAGATTATAATATGTGGTGCTTTGGGACATGCTGAAAGTTAATAAAATTTGATATTTTTGTGATTGACATGAGGGAAACTCTGCAGCCGATTCAAATTATAAATGTTTATAATAAATATATATATAAATATACAATTTGTATTTTTAATTTAAAAATTCTTGAATAAAGCCTTTTAGAAATATTCAATGAAGTTTTGATATTAAATTGTCAGCTTAATATTTTTTTTCTAAATAAATTTGAAGATTAAAAGTTTGTTAACTATGTGTACGTTATAAATGATGTGTCTTTCTGATTGAATTGTTGAGACTAATCAAATCTATTCAGTTCTATCTCCTATATTATTTGTGTAATTAAGTACATATACATCGCACAGTGTCCATTGTATTGTATAATTAAATACATATCCCAACGTTCAGTGGCTTGATGGAAAATAATTAATATCGGTTACATATTTTGAAAATTTTGACAATTATGCGCATTGAAAAAACATATACTTTTTGTGCCTAAATTTACGAGAGTGTTTTGTTTTTCTGCAGGTACAAATTATACTTATGATGTGTTTAGACATTAAACACTTCTGCTGTTATGTGTTTAGAATTTAAACGCTTGTGTTTATGTGTTTAGATATATTTAATTTCTAAGCACACAAGTGTTTAAATTCTAAACACTCTCTAAGACATGTTTAGAAATTTTACATGTTTAGGAATTAAACATATAAAAAAGGAGGTGACAACAAAGTGTTTAGAAAAGTGTTTGAATTGTAAACACATTTTTTACAGTGCAAGAGGTAAGATATTTATGGAATCCGGATAGGGCCATGTAGTTCACTGTGACGTAGTGGTGGGATACCGATGATGCAACTGTTAATCAAATTCAAATAAGACATAATCAATCCTTTAAAGATAGTCTTAACAGTATGAAAATTATTTTTGTTTATTGAATAATTTCAATAAATTGTGACTACTAATTGTTGGTCACATTATGTTTATGACACTCTGCAGATTTTCAATCCATATTGAGCCGTCACGGTAGCTCAGCCGGTAGAGTGCTCGCTAAGTGAGCGGAAAGTCGTGGGTTCGAACCCCGGCCGCGACTGACGTAAGTCGATAAAAAATAGGTAGCAACTGCAAAAGATCGACTCAATATTTACACACTATATTTTTTCCATGTCCACAAATCTTTTCCTATAGTGTACAGAGGGTCTTTAAATCCTTACGTCAAAGTGAGACTGAAATCAAAAGTGAGCTCGCCTAATTTTTAAGACTCCTGTCAGTCAGGTCTCAAGAAACATCAATAAGAAAGAAAAAAATATTTCGTTCATAACAGTACAGTTGATCATGTGTTCCTTTTTCCCCTCAAGTAGAACACAGGGAACAAAATATAATTATTTCGATCCCAAAAAATCTGTCTCTTTAAAATACAATCAACATAAACTTGCAATGATATATTGTCTTTATACTTACAGGTTCTGTTAAAATGGGAAAATATTTCCTTCGAATTACAAAACTGTTCTTCATCAGAAGAATAATAAAAGGTCTGCTTGGTAAATGTAATTATAACAAACTAGGCCATGGAAAAATACATACAAGAAGAAAACGGTGTACTTTTATTAATAATCTTAACCTTTTGTCTTTATCCTTTGAAGACGACTTCTGTATAAATGAATAAAATGTCTTTTTAAATTATACATAGTGAACAACATGAACAAGACGCCTGCATTCCGTAATAAGCTTAAACCAAGAATAAAATCAAATGTTGAACTCGTTTTGATTTAATGATCTAAAAATCTACAAAATGTCTTTTATAAATCATTGTTATCCATACATTGACAATCTCACTTGCCCCAAAAACTCCACGTCCCTGAAATACTGCGACATAAAAGTAAACAATATCCTTGCCAACAGTCCTCGTACGTTGGCCTTGACCCTCTGGTATGAGATGTTCCAGAAATAGTTTACTAATTTTGATTTATATCACTAAGATTATATTAATAGCGTTGGCACTTGCACTTGACCTATTACCGAATGGATCGAAAATCTGAAGGTTTAACTATTCTCTAATTATAACGTGGATATTAATTATGATGTAAGTGCATGTATGAAAAAAAATATGAAGAAAATGTTCGAGTTACTGCATAACAGATATGTGAAATTGTCAGAGCAAGACTCTAAAATTTCGACTTTTTCATTTTGCTAAATTTTTCCAGAAACTATTGTCATTTGTCTCGATCCATCCTCTCGCTGCTTACGTTCTAAATATGAAGACTTCGAGTTTAAAAGTACTTGAGTTATCGTGCAATATAAAATTCTTCGAAGGATAGACATACATGTACATGTATATGAGAGGGGTGGGGTCGGTGAGGGTGAGGGTGTGCGTGCCACATGATATAAAATGATACCCGTATCTCATTTAATTACTACGAACATGACGAATACATGTATTACATTTAATTTTAACAATTTAAATAATAACTCTATAATAATACATGTACACACAAAACACCACCATCAACAATAAAGACGAATGACAACAAAAAGAAATGTGTTAAAAGTTTATTAAAACAAAAACAAAATGTGGAATTTATCACATCGTAAAACAATAAATCACATGATGTCAATCACACATAGTCTCTTTCTTTTTAATTAAAAAAAAATCAATATATGGATTGATTTGTTCTAGCAGCACTAATTCCATAATCACTTGAGCAGCATCCAATAATGTTAAAGGGGCATGGACACAGATTTGAAGTTAATATTTTTCACGATTTTCGGTACATGTTGCGAAAGCATATCAGAGCGATATATGATAAAAGCTTTATTAGAAACTTCATTTGTCTGAAATTCTTAAAAGTACAAATTTTGGGCGTGTTTGTTTGTCAAGCATACTTGCACTCTCTCAAAAAAAAAATATTCTAAGTATTTAAGAAAAAAAAAATAGAAAATTTGCAGTGTATTTATATAAGACATTAAAACAATAATCAGGTAAAGTTAGAATAGAAATGTGAGAAAGCAAAACTAACAAAGCAGTGTTGTCAGTTCGTGTTCAGTGATGTGTGCAGTTAGTAAACTGAAAACAACCGGTAAAACGGTAAAAATTAACTATAACAGAGCTTGTGTCCATGTTTACAAATAGTGCTTGATGTTAAAAAAGATTATTATTTTCATTGAATTTTAAGGATTTTCATGTCAGTAATATTCATTAAACTGATTTTAAAAAAAGATGGAATTTAAAATTGTAAACAAAACGACAATGTAACTGTGTCCTGCCCCTTTAAACTAAGATTTCAGAGATAAACGGCATCACCTATATTTACAAACCACATTATCATAAGATTTATATCGTACATGGGTCAGTGTTTTAGAGGTGTTACAAACACAGTAATGTCATCAAATGAGCCTGGTTCTCCATTCTTTTTCTTCCAGTTGTTTCCACTGAATGTTCCGCGAGCTAATGTCACAAGTTCCTCAGCCACAGATAAATATCTGTAGTAAAAATGAAATCAATTTTATATACATGTACATGTAAAAAATGATAATAATTCTGAGGTAGCAAAATAAATCCGTTCAATGTGCATGAAATATTGATGAAATATGAAAAATAATAATTCATTTTCATGTAAATACAGCAACAGCATATGGACAACCATTAATGTGGTGAGGAGAGCCTAATTTTGAACAACATATTGATAACAATCAAGATATATCCGTAATTATTCTACTACAGTTATTGTCGAAATCAAAAACATGCCGCGGACATTATTCTCCTAAAAATCTCGAACGTCATCAAAAAATTATCAGATCAGAAAATACAAATTAAACTTATATAGGTGAAATGAATATTTGACTTTAGATTCTCGTAATTATTTAAACTATATAGATGCTTCGTCTCCTGCATTCTAAACAGTGCGTATTGCTCAAACAAGCTGATATAGCTAAATGGGGCTGTTCCACGGACCTCCCCACAATATTTACACTCCGTGGTTTTACTGATAAAGAAATTAAATAGACAACCAATTTTGCTATTTTACATTAAGAAAAATTAATCAATATATGATACAAACAAAATAAATGATTAAAGGATATTTTTAATCCAACGAAAGTTCAAATCGTCTGCATTCTACTTGCTAACGCCTCGGCTTTTATATTTCAAAACAACATTTCTCGACCTTGGAGGTACTTCTGCATCATTCACGATAACACAAACTTCATTTCTTAAGTAATATACATAACAAGAAGACCAAATTGTCCAGTAATAAAACAATTAACATTGGCTAAAATACTTGCTTGTGATCAGTGCACTGAATATAAGGTATTGTTTAAATCGCTTTCGCTTCCTGTAAAAGTGAAGTACATTGTGTAGCTTCTTTGTCAGATCGTTAATAATGTCTGTTAACAAACCTTTTTTGGTTGTTTACATTGTATAGATGGAGTACGTCGCTCACGGATTTTCGGACCTCTTCGACTTTCAATAAATCCCATAAACCATCACTTCCTATCACCAAGACATCATTGTCATCTAAATCAGCTGTCTTTAGATCATATACACACACCTATCAATTCAAAGTTGTAAAACTCTCACATTTATCTAAAATACATATCAGGAAGTATATTCTATTATTATACTTTCATGTTAAATACTAAAATCTGATTGGTTTAGACGCATTTAACAATCCTTAATGTTACCCTCAGCGTTAGCAACACACTTGACAACGGGTAACATTACGAAAATGTCACATGCGTTCAAATCATGCGCGTACGGTTCACCGTAGAATTCTCAAAACGTCAGTTGTGCGTTTGAAAGAAGCCGAATAAACGACATCAACAAAAGTTTGCGTCCGATGTAGCTTACTTAAAAACAACAAATGACAGACGAAACATCCTTGCGAGTGCAAACTTTAGATGATAAAGGACTTTTTGAGTAGTAAACAAACAATAAAGAGGTTGGTAAATCTTTCGGAAGCTTTCTTATTGAGAAAAATAGAAGCGGAGAGTTTGAAAGCTTTCTAACCGTCAACTTAACGACGATCTCCGATTTTTTTTTAAATAAGACTTTCAGTATAATAAAATAAATAGTGCACGTTTTTGAGGGTAACAGTTGAAATTGACACCCCTCGGAAAACCATTGTCAACCTCCGCTCACGCGTCGGTTGACAATGGTTTTTCCTTGGGGTGTCAATTTCAACTGTTACCCTCAAAAACGTGCACCATTTATATAATATTGTTTTGATGAAATATTCTTTTACATTAAGTGTTTGTGAATTAATTCTCATTACAATTATGATAATATATTTTTTCCAAGTTGCTATTATAATGTATATGTTGAAAAAAGTATTAAGCTACTAATATTGGAAAGCAACAACTTCATCCCTCGATTGTAACATTGAAGTCTTTGACCACAACTATTATCGTAATGATTATCGGAATTGCTAATTAAAAGCTGAGTTAAATGAAACAAGTTTGAGGCGCCCTGCTCCAATCCACCACATTAAGTATGGGTTTTTTTTTGTTTTGTGTGATGTTGTTTAACATCCCTCTCGAGAATTTTTCACTCATATGGAGATGCCACCACTTGCTGGTGGAGGGCTGCAAAATTTGACCTATATATACTCGGCAGTGAGGTATCTTTTTCGTGCCAGCACTTAATGCGACACGGGACCTCGTTTTTTACGATCTCCACGTCCCGCAGTGGATTCGAACCCGCGACGTAAGGATGTATTTCGACTCTAGAACAAACTCTCTTATCACTGCGCCACGCGGGCGACCACATATTATGTAATGCAATTATATCAGTCTTCTATCCAGTGGAGTATAGAATATATGCAGTCGTTCATAGTCGTTTATGGATCAGATTAATACTTTTAATATTTTTTGCAAATTTTAATCCATACTTGCTCTCTATTAAAAAACTTTTCAGTAGTCATCGCATTGTAAATAACAGAATGAATATAAGAATTCCCTCGAATAAAAATGGTCTGTATATAATTTTAAAAAATAATATACTTCTGGAACTGCTGACAGGAATGGCTTCATGTAGATATTGGAGTCGTATAACCTCAGGTCGTGGTCACCAAAACCTCTAGCAACCCCAATTGTCTGCATCAATCGAGACTAAAACAGAATGAAGGAAATAATTAAATTAAATTATCCCAAGGAAAGGATTAAGCAAAAAAAGATTTTATTATCCTAAATACATAAAAATATTCAATTCTTCGTTCACATTAATCATGCAATATTCCACAATGATTATGCCTCCTGTACGTGTACGAAGAGTTTTATCACAGATTGTCAAATCATTTTTTTAAATATTCCAAAGTTAAAGTTACATTACTTTTGAGTCTACATTGTATATTAATATATGCATATATTAACAGTTTGCCACTGTGTCAAAGATAAAGTTTACGCAATCACCTTCAAAATGGAAAAAAAAATGTTAATCTAAACATTAAATTTTATTTTGCAAAATATTTGTTATTCAATAGATTACAAGACAATTCAGCTATGCGTAATATGATAAATTCACCTTATTTCCAGTACAGGTAATAAGAGGTACTTTCAGATCGTCTTGGTCAGCTATTTTGTAGCCCCTGTTTAAAACAGATCCACAAGATAGAGACTCAGTTGAAATGACTGTAATTTACGTAAACTAACTGATGGTATATGCTTTAGAACACAAAGTATACCATAATAACAAGATTTTGTCCGTTATACATGCGCATGTAATTTTTTATATTTAGGTTATTGTATGTGGAAGATTGAAAATTCCAAAAGTATTATAAATCCAAACATTATTCCTTTAGCATATAGATTTAGAACAAACTGAATTTTGTAGATTTACCCACACACAATTTCAGACACATATAATCTTTGACAACTCCGCCAACTTTCGTACTGACCAGTTAAATAACTCAAGGATAATAAAGTTGCAATGTTTGAGAGATTGTCGCAAATTGTGGAAATTTTACATAAAGTTTATGTTATGCTGAATTAAATTTTAATGTAGAGATTTAATATTTCACTTTCTTATATCTCATACAATAAACAGTTTGCTACGCCTACTATAGACATTAAGCTTCTTTGTTTGAAATCAACATTTCAAAAATTCTATATTCGATACAACCTTGTTTGCCAAAACAGTCTGCCGTTAAATCAAGTGTTATTTGATGTCTTTCTAACAAATTGTAAGGTCATTATTTTCACACTGAATTGTCTACGGATTTTTCCGTTTACCCGATTAAAAGTGCACACTGCGAGTGTGACCGGTCGACAGGGGATGCTCACTTCTCTTTGGTACCTGATCCCATCCCTGCTGTCAGAGGTCTATGTTGTATTGCTTAACTGGACTTTTTGAGTACGGTTACTATTCGTTATCTTCACGTTTCGTTCGTAACAAGACTGAAATTAGGTTTTGTTTGTTTGTTGTTGAACGTCCCTCTCGAGAATTTTTCACTCACTGGAGGACTGCAAATTTATATTATACTTGGAACTCATGGCTACTGCGACACGGGACCTCGGTTTATACTGTCTCATCCGAAGGACCGGTCTCCATGTCCCACAGTGGATGAAATTAGGTAGAACTAAGCATAACAAATTCAAAGAACACATTCCTAAGATCTAACGATAAAGTTGAAACTATAGTAACATGTATGAGTAAATGAAAATGGAAGGAGAAGTCAAGGTTTAGCAATTACTAACAAGTGCAAAAATTCCCTTTCTAAACATAAAAAGAACAAACTTCAATTACAGATGTCAAACAGGACCGAAAAATTTATAGAAATAGATCGTTAATTAATAATTTGTCATTTACATATAGAATACATAATTTTAACAGAATACAAAATATTATTTCCACGAAAGAAAGTATAAAGTACAAAATGATTCTTTTCCAGCATTTGTCTATCCTTTGAAAACTTGCCATTTATTAATACATTCACATCATATATGCAGTCAACAGTTTGGGATTTAAAATATGCTGCTAATGAGTTCAACTCGATCGTTTTACTCTATTCAAATATAGACTTTCTTTCATTACAATTCTTTTATGGTTTTTAAAAACTCCTACCAAGACAAAAAAAAAAATTAATATTCTTCATACAACACTGACCCATCCTTCTTGAGAAGTTTTTAAAGAAAAAGTCTCATTATTGACCTTGGTTTTAAAAAATATCTTCTAAAATAATAACCTTTTTCAGCAATCATTTTCTTTCTTCATCTTCTACAGAGTAAGCAACATGACTGATATTATAATATAACCTTCAAGTCCGCTTTGGCAAGGCCTCTTTAGTGTATTGATTTTCCATTGTTGATCATGGTTATTCTTAAAACTTACCAGCCTGACTGGTTTTCCCCAGGTCACTACTAACTATTCTAAATAAACTTACCAGCCTGAAATGGTAGGTACCTTCCATGATTACTGATTTTCCCAGGTCACTACTACATGTAACTATTCTAAATAAACTGACCAACCAGTCATTGAAAGACCTTCTGTAGAGTACTTGTTCATGTTGTTTTCCAGTGTTGCTCATAGACGATAAGGGATAACTAACAACTAAATTGTATGACAAACAAGATGACTTCGGCTTTTCCATCGTCGACTTTCATAATGTATGTACTAGTAATAAATTAATACTTAAGAGCTTTGAGTATGATTAATTCTTACACTTAGACAGGCCACTGACAGATACTATTAAATCATCATTGTTCGTGGGGACCAATGTTTGTGGATTTTGTGGATCACCCTTACCAACGAATTTACATTCCCGCGAACTTTTTTTTTGGTAAACTGTAAACTTATTGATTCATTGAATCCAACGAATAAATGAATCACCCATGAAATTACGTCCTCACGAACAAATAAAATGTTGCTTGCCCACGAACATTGACCTCCACGAATTAAAATGATTCCACAGTATGTTAATGTTACAGGGATTTCAACAACCTCTTTAAAGTCGGATTTTCGTAAATTCTATGACGTTGTCAGCAAATATAACCAAAAATTGGGTCGTATTTTGACTGATGTATTTCAAAGCAACTGTTAGGCCTTTGTTTTTATACTAAATTTGACTACAGAATATTCCATCTACCTAATCAATACACATGGCTCATGACAGGTGGGACCGGTCAACAGGCAATGCATACATGTACTCCTAGGCTTCCTAGGCACCTGATCCCACGTCTGGAATTTCAAGGAGTCCGTATTTTTCACCCTGTTCACAGATTTGTATTGTTTGTAGGCTTCTTTTGAGATCGATCAGTTTGTTATCTTGGTTTTTTTCATTACTCTAGAAAACTTACCAGACTGTCGTGGTAGGGCCTCTTTAGGGCAAAGGTTTATTAATTGTCATCTCCGATTATTCTAGAAAACTTACAGGCCTGCAATAATAGGGCCTCTACAGAGTATTGGTTTTCCTATATGAATCTGGCTTATTCTAGAAAACTTACCAGCCGGCCATGATAGGTCCTCTATAGAGTATTGGTTTTACTATATCACTCTCAGACTTTCTTACTCTAGAAAACTTACCATCTGGCCATGATAGGTCCTCTATAGAGTATCTGTTTAACTATATTACTCTGACTTATTCTAGAAAACTTATCAACCAGCCATGGTAGGTCCTCTATAGAGTATTGGTTTTACTATATCACTTCAGCTTATTCAAGAAAACTTACCAGCCGGCCATGGTAGGTCCTCTATAGAGTATTGGTTTTACTATATCAATCTGGTTTATTCTAGAAAACTTACCAGCCGGCCATAGTAGGTCCTCTATAGAGAATTGGTTTTCCTATATCACTCCTAGTTATCCTCTTCAGATACTCGTAACATGTAAACTCTTCATGTAAAAGGTCTGGCTTTGCCATACCCTGGAAACAAAACATAAATTATATTTAACAAAGGTAAAAAGTGGCTGTTAAATTCCGGTTTCCTATCATCAAAAAAAAAAAAAAAATGAAAATTTCTTCCTAAAATGCATAATACCCTTTTTCACCTTAACTCAGAGGTAAGGCTTCTCAAGCAATGTTAAAAATTTCCAACATGCAAGCCATGAAAAACACTCTTTGTAAATACTAATTCATGCTTGCAATAAAGAACCATCTTGTGAATACCATGCCACCACCATAGACGCTTATAAAAGAAACATACTTTATACATGCAGCTTTGTTTTTGCAGTAGTTTCATATTTTTGTTATTTTCACAGCACAATAATTCAACAAAAATACCAGTCTAGTTAATTTAACTTAAATAATCATTGAAAAATAAGAAGGAAAAAAATATTCATTTGTTGCAATAGTTGATTTCTTCAGAAAAAGGAAAAAAAATCATGAGTGAGGTCAAAATATTTAAAATAGTACTGACAGTACTGAGTATAACTTACTAGGGCAAGGATTCTGTTTCTTTCTGAGTAGGGAGTCATGTCCCTTGATAATCTGACTGCTCGGCCTTTATTATACACCACTGCCCTAATACAAGTGCCAAAAATGTTAGTAAACAATCCAACACACGTTATAGGAAAGTTATTCATTCAATCTTGGACGGCTTACCTGCAGTCCCCAGCGTTAGCCACAAAGAGTTTCCCAAAGATAAAAATGGCTACTATCACAGCACATCCTCCTCGTATTGAGTACGTTGTTTTTTCTCTCTTGATCTGATCATCCTAAGACAAAAATAAAATTTCTCAATTTTAAAAAGTTGAAATGTTTATCATGGTTTATACAGACTAGTTTTCAATTGCTAATAAATATACCTCAACTTGCAAAGATAACATTATTTTTTTTTAATCAAAAATGTAGAGAATACTTAATTCCTATTGTTTATCTTTTAATCAAATGTAATTGTGACATTCTCAGAGTTACCAATACTGTACTTTTTTCAAATTAATTTTTAAATAGTATTTTAATAGTAAGAACATATCTTCAATGCTTGATGATCCTGTTTATATAATAGATTGTTTTTAGTAGAAATTATTATATTATCAGGCCTAAATCAATATCAGAAAATAGACAGCTCTATGCATTTTAATTCAAAATTAATTTATACTTGTGTTTTCTTTTAAAGTTGAAATCTCCAAATATTTGATTACATCTTATTGCCTTAGATACATGTAATACTATATTGCTTGCATGTACATGTATTATCGAATAATGCAGCTAAAATTTCCATATATTCTATCACTTACTTCAAAACATCTTTTAGGTATGATTTATTATAATGCTGGTCATGATTTATCGAAGATTATATGTAAATAATATTTTTCATATGTTAAAAGTTTCTATTAGTCCAAGCTAAGAAACCCTAATAATAATTTTAAATATGTTTTTATTTACTTGATCAAAGTTTTAAATAAACAGTCAGCCTTATGACATTTTCCTAGTGTAACTAGTGCTCCCCAATGGTCCTATTATGCATAGTGAAACCTCACTCATCCTTCCATATATGGCAAGGTTTTGAATGTTTTGAATGATTGTTAAAAGAAATGTCCAAAAAGGCTTCTCTGGAGTAATTTTTCTATCATAATAACAGGTCCTTGCACTTATACCTACATGTAATACAATAACAGGAACAATTTACAATGAAATTTCAAAAAATCATATTTTTTTACTGGTGTTAAAGGGGTATTAAATTAAAAGAACCCCACATATATGAACATTTGGGATTTTTTTTTTCATGAACAACAGTGCATGTATTACATTTTAATTTATCTATAAAACATAATAAAGTTAAAAAAATAATCAACAAATGAATCTAACTATTTCTTCATGTCAAACACTTGGAAAATCAGCTTAGAATTTACCATAGCTATAAAAGATTCCTCAAGGGCTCCCACAATCAGACTATCTAGAGACACAACATCCAGTGGACCAAACTTCTCTGAGTCATGGCTATTTTTCTCTTTGTGGTTCTCCGGGTCCATGGACAAGATCTTGGCTTTCAGAACCTCTGTCTTGCTCTTCAGTCGATCAACAATGTGTTTGTGGAGAAGTTTGGATGACCACAGGGCTGCATCAGGACCCGCATGGCCGTCAAACATCCCAAAGTAGGTCAAGGTTAATTTATTCTATTAAAGCAAACAGTTGCACTGTGAAAGAAATGTTTAACATCTTCATTAAAAAAAAAATTGAGCTGAAAAAAAGCTCTTCAAATTTTTAATCCAATTTGCAAGATATTTCAATGATTGTTTAAAAATATTTATCTTATTCTGCAAATAATTTTCACCGAGTTAAAAGTTTTGACTTAGTTCATTCAAATTAGTATAAATATAGGCCCAGCATCGAACTCATTGCAACAGAAATTATTTTGTGATAAATGAAATCTTATATGTACAAAACAAATGAAGAAAAAAGTATATAAAAATCTAACGAAGGATAAGCATAATTTTAGCATGATGGGAATTACTAATAATAGAAAAGGGGCATAACTCTGATAATCCATCCAATACTTTGCTGAAGGAATAAAAGAAATTTCCCATTCCAAGGAAAAGATTTTTTCAGGATAGCCTTTTCTGATTGAAATATTTTTTGATATAGATAAACAGGTTATTACTTCATATAGATGATAGCAAATTTCAAATGAATGGGTTTTTATTTATTTATTTATTTTTCCTTGCTACTAGGGGTTTAACTGCATCTATATAAATGTATATAAATGTCATTATACACAGTTTAGGTCATATCCTCTTCAAAGTAAAAAAATGCACTAAACATTTAACAGGGTTGTCCCTAAGACCTGGGGGCCAGGGAATTTCCCCACCTTTAATGATGTTATCCCCTGGCTACTCTGATATCCCCTCTCAAACCCTTGTTAGGGGAGGAATCCCAGAGCCCCTTTTCCATTTTTCATGTCTCCTCCTATTTCAATTCTTAGGGACAACCCTGCATTTGACTAAATTTACTATAATAATAGTTGCCAACCTGGAGCAGTGGTGAGCATTTGCTCTACAGTCAAGAAGTAAGAAGTTGATCTTTATATCGTGGGTGCAGGGGGACATGGAGACCGGTCCTTCAGATGAGACCATATAAACTGAGGTCCCGTGTCGCAGTATGTACTGGCACAATAAAGATCCCTCGCTGCTCAAAGGCCGTAAGTGCTGAGTACAGATCTAAATTTGCAGCCCTGCACCGGCAAGTGGTGGGGTCCCAGTGTGAGTGAAAAATTCTTGAAAGGACATTAAACAAACTATAATAAAAAGAGTTATGCCCCTTTTCTTTTGTAATAATATAGCGCAAAATAATCTTTCCCCTCATCTGATTCTGTTAGGTTTTTTTTTACCACATTAATTTCTATATTCTAGAGTTCATTTATAACAAATAAATAAGTACTAAATTACACTAGTATGCCACAAGAATCAGGAATCACATTTAAGCAAGTTGACAACCAATGATTCATTTTGAAGTAATTACCTACATAGTATATCAACATATAATGTGGACAAACCATGCAATGCTAGAAAGAAAAAGGTGAAGATACTTTTTTACTGTTCAATTCTTTGTTTCCATGCTACAGTGAAGAAATGAGATATCTGTATATTTAAAGTTTGCTTTATCTAAATACATGACCCTTTCATCAGCATTTAAGTGATTTTTAATACACATATTTCTACCCTAGTAAAACAAAACTTGTACATGTATTTCAGTAAATAAGGATTCCAAAGTGTGCAGCAAAATTTCTACCCCATTATCTTATGTCTAGATGGCATTTTAAAGTTTTTCCTTCAGACCCTCTAAGATATAGATATACACTGTACTAGGGTGATAATTATGGAATTGATGAACATTCCAAATCCTGGGGCCCTCTTGAGTGTTAGAATTTGAACACTTCATGTATCAGGGGATGCCTATTTGATTCTGAAAGAGGAGGGGGGGGGGGGGGGGCAAAAATTTTCGTATCAGATTGCCAGTCAAGGACAGGACAGATTTATTTTCAAGATGATCAAAGACAGATTATTTATTTTCTTCTTCTCTGAAAAAAGTCTGACTAGCAAAAAATAAAAAAAAGGAAAACACCCAAACTCCAAATCTCTATTTCTGGGAGGTAGGTGGGTGGGGTAGAGGGGGGTGGGGGACAGATTATTTTATTCTCTTGCCAGTCAAGGACAGCTTATTAATTTCCAATATTTATGAGGAGAGATTATATTATTTCCCAAACCTGCAAGCCTCCCTCCCCCCAAATCATATGGTTGTCCCCTAATATTCAAAGCATATCCTTTCTATGCCTATCCAGTAAACTTTATTTTAACATACAGATATCCTTCCTGCTGCCACATCTGTCATTTGTATGGTTGTTGGGAAGTCCTCACTGGATTCAGTCAGTTCATGTGTGTCCAGATCCAGGAAGTACTGCTTAGCTGTAGCCTGGTCTTCGTTCATGTTACTTTTTCCACCATTGATACATCTGTAGAGACATAGTTCAAAATTTAGTACTCACACCTTTCATAATTTACTCATACTCAGTGATTTTCAGAGAAATAGACTGACATATATATATATTTCTAAAGGTCTCATACGTGTTTTTGAGCACTGATAAGTTAAGCAAAGGCCATATCAGCAATAGTAGTTAACATTTGTTATAAGTACAATCGAGTCACAAGCATGCGTGAGGTGAAGGGGTCGATGTACTGAGCTCATGTAATTTTAGGTTTTTAATCTTTTAATTTTTAATGGGCACTGTACATAGACACTCACCCCTCACGCAGAGTGCGATAAGACTTAAGTGGTTTGCACTGAACGGGAAGAAGAAGTAGCTTCCTTTACTTAAAATATATTCTCCTAGAGTACTGAATTTTAACATTTACATCAATCAAACTTTGTTTTGTAGTGATCAAAGCCAATTGAAAGGGGATATCTGAACCTTACAGTTAAAGATTCAAAGTTATGTAATATTTAACAGACTAAGATTAATTTTCATCTACTAAAATGAAGTTTTGTAGTTCTAATATGAATACATAAATTTCTTGTATACTACACAAATACTTAAAGAGGGTTGTCCCTAAGAAATGAAATAGCAGAGGACTTTAAAAAAGTAGAAGGGAATCTGGGATTCCTCCCCTAAGATGGGGTTGAGGGGGAATACCAGAATAACTGGAGGATTACTTCATTATAGGCAGGGAAATTTTCCCATACCCCGGGTATTAGGAGCAACCCTGCTAAAAAGACTAGCTGTTAATTCTAAATAGAATATCAAATTTATATTATATACTCTGCATATCCTGCATTGAAAGGAAGAACCATTGGTTCATTAGATGTCACAATGGGTCGAGTCATAAAGTCCTGGGACACTTTTAACTTCTCTGCATTCAGTCGCAGGAACTCGGGTCGACTGTACTCATATCTGATTGGTTTTTCACTCTCATCTTTGACCTCTGTGGACCAGACCTTGTCTACTGCTGTGTCTAGGTGTGATTTGAGACGTCTCAGCATATTGCTTGTTTGCAGTAAACTGAAGGATCTGAAGAAATAAGTATCTTTATAAATTACATCTCATTACTTAATACATGCATATGCACAAATAGATAACACAGAAAAAAATTCAGATATTCCTGAAAAAAAAAATATGTGCATGGTGCAAATGAAATATTTTACAATCTTTTTTATAAGTAAATATTGAGCAAAATTATTTATCACATCATTTATGCTGTATTTTCTCACAAAAAACAATATAATTATATAAAGAAGCAATAACACAGAGGTCAAGTTAACATTTAAATTATAAAATTATATAAATTACTGTGATTACCATCTTTATTCAGAAATATCATTAATTATAAGTTTATTTTACCATTGTTACTATGAAAATAAAATATTCCTTATGGGGATTTTATTTCAGCAATTTATTATTAATCCTGTTCATAGCTAGGGCTTAATTTTAACGTTCTTATATGTTTTTTTTTTTTTTTTTTTTTTTTTTTGTTTGTTTGTTTGTTTTTTTTTTTTTTTTTCATGTTGTTTGTTTTTTGTTTTTTTGTTTTTGGCAGTTCCCCCTTACTTGTATTAAAATAAGCATATAAGTCCCTTCTCATTAACATTCTATTAATGATGATTGACCTCAGACAGATATAGTTCTTCATTCATATTAATGTTTCATTTAGTTCCTTATCAGTTTAAGAGCTAGTTTGGAAATCATTAATTTATAGCTATGAGATTTTTAATTATTTAAACAGTTTCCTGAAAGTACTTAAATATTCAATAGTGAAGCCTAATAGCAATTTTGAATTTAGATAAAAAAGATTGAAGTTCAAGTAGTTTTATTTAATTAATAGTAAAAAAAAAAAAAGAAATAGATAAAAAGAAATGGTACAATTGATTGGTCATTTAATTCTAGAAATATTTCAAGATACTGCACAGTTTAGATAACATTAAGGACTTAATTCATAATAAATTCTTAAAGATTATATATATATATATATATATATATATATATATATATATATATATATATATATATATATATATATATATATCAGTAATCACCATGATTACATTATCATGATGTGTTTATATAGCCAGGTACATCTCTCATCTTCATATACAATTGTACAGGGCATGCATAGATGTATCTAGAGTACTTTGATTTAGAAAAAAAATAACTGTTTAATGCTGCATATGAAACTTTGACCAGTTATTGAGAAATATATATTTCAATTAATCATTTTGATACATAAAAACCTGTTAATTTATAGACTTTTCAGTAAATTTGTTATGTACAAAGTCCTATGGCAGGAAAAAGTTAACAAGTAAACAATCATTAAGAACCATTGAACAATTAATTCTTAGGTTATACATTTTCTAAACTACATTTTAAAACTGAAGACATGAAGAAAAAAAAAAATAAAGTTTGAGGTTGAAATATTTGAAGATTAGAACTAGTACATATAATTTAAAAAAAAAATGTCTAGTGTCTCTTATATAGGACCCCATGTCATTGTAATTGTAGAATGAACTATCATTTCATTTTTTTTTTTGCACGTTAAGATTGGGTTTTACAATTTTAAACAATGCAAACTATTACTAATATATTTAAAAATTAGATCACTTTTAACCTGTGAACTGGTGAACAGTTCGATATTAAACACTTATTTAACACTGTTTTAACTTTATAATTGAATTCTAGACTTGAACTATAAAATAAAAAGTAATAATTGAATATTTCCCCTTCGTAGTCTCAATGTTACACGATACCATTCCTCGTGAATTTGAGATATATCACTCTGCGCTGTGTCTAAAAGCAGAGATAATTCGGATTCTCATCCTGTTTCTGATTACTGGTATCTTTTATGTAACTTGATGACAATTTCACTTACAGTTTTCTTTATCTACGTCTTCTGATAATAACCGTCCATCTCCATACATCAGTGTCATTTGCTCATTGTAATTAATCGTGCAGACAACTGGGGTGGGCGTGTTCTGTTTTGTTTTGAGCGGAAGTGAACTGCACCACTGTCCAAAACTTGCGTTTCCGCATTCGAATTTTATTTGATAAGTTCTGATCGTGTACTAGACGCAACTGCAAAAGTACTGATTCTGTTACGCCACAGTTATTGCTTATATTCGAAATTTTAATAATAATAATTTAAATCACAACGATAACATTTGTTCAATATTCTTGAATGCTCTTTGATTTTTTTTTTTGGAGGGGGGGGGGGGGTCATACAACATTTGATGATTATCATCATAAACATCCTCCATCTTTGCCCACAACAACCGTCATCACTTTATCACTTTGAATTTACTAGTATTGCATACAATTATCGACGTAGTACGAATGGATAAGATTTTGTTAGTTTTCAAAGAACATTGTAATTTGCGTACTTTGAATATTGGAGAGAGAGAGAGAGAGAGAGAGCAAGTGAATCTGCCAGGTTATTTAATGTTTGGACAAAGAAAAGAGAAAGACGTTCATTCTCTTCAGCACTCAATGAATCAATTCCCTTAAATATAGGGCATGTGTAACTAAAATGTGAATTTTATCAAATAGTAAAATATCAAACCATTTTTCTGGTTCATATATACTTTGGACATATAAAAAACAATGATACATATCTTCTAATTTACCTCAATAATCACGAGGTCGGTAACCACTGTAATTTACAAAAATTTATAAAAGCCATAGTGCCAAACAATATATGTGCAAAATAATAAATCCATACCTCTTACAGTTCTCGAGATACATGTATAATGTGTGACAGACGGACAGACACCGGGTAAAGTTGATCCCTAAGTGCCGCTCTGGTCTGCAAAAAAGCCCCCCTCCCCCCCCCCCCCCCCGCGTTCTACTGGCCTGCAAGGAGTACTTTCATTTTTGGCCTTATGATTTTGACCTTGAAGTTTGACGTAATTTTCAAGACTCAAATTTGGCTGCATCTTACGTCCCATGTCGCAGTAGGTGCTGGCACGAAAAAGACCCCTCACTGCTCAATGGCCTTAAGTGCCGAGTATTTAACAAAATTTGCAGCTCTCCACCGGCAAGTGGTGGCGTCTCCATAGGAGTGAAAAATTCTCGAGAGGGACGTTAAACAACACACAAACAAAACAAAAAAAATCAAGATACCTTTCGAATACATGTATATGATGATGATTTTAACTCATGACCTTGAAGATTGCGCTACTCTTCAAAAAATTTAATCTTGGCCTTTCATATTAATTTTTTCATATGTGCAATACTTGCTGCAAGACATTCACAAACTTTTTGACTTTTGAACCGGTACATATTGCTTCCAAAATATAAAACATTTTGCATGATGGACAAACAAGCCAAGACAAACACGATAGATACAATAAGCCATAAAGCATTGCACCTCAATAATGCTCCGAAAGCGGGGAACCACAATTCTCTGAATTTGCTTATTAGGTTTCTTCCTCTAAATATTATGAATCTTTTTAGCAAGTACATGTATAAGCCTGCATTGAAGGTCAAGTGGCACTCATTAAATCGTGTCTACAATTTTATTTGCCAAGCCATAATAGAGGAAATAATTTTCCCATAAATACGAGGATTGTCCAAAAATCTCGCGGATTGTCACGTTTTTAAATGAATTAATATCAATAAACCTTTGAGGTTGACGCCAGATTAAGATATTTATCGATGAAGTTTCAGTCTGAACGAGTATGAAGAAATAAAGACTATAAAGTATTTTTCCTTTCATAATGCTGCATGTTTTTGTGTCGCCTGTATAGCAAAGCGATACTTAGGGATCTCTTTACCAGGCGACTGTCTGTCTGTCTATCTGTCCGTCTGTCACACCTTATATCTCGAGAACTGTAAGAGGTGTGGTTTGATATTTTGCACATATATTACCATGGTTACCGATTTTTGACCCTTGACCTTCACCTTTGACCTACTTTTCAAAATAGTTCATAGTGCCGAGATACAGCATATTTTTGACATTTAAGAGGCAAGTCTATGTTATTTAGCATGTGCACTCTTTGTCATTAATCATTATGATTAATACCAGCGTTACAATCCATTTGACTTTGACCTTTGACCTACTTTGCAAAAAAATACCCCGGACACTTTAATTTAACATTTTTTTTTTAAATTTTGAGATGCAGGGTTTTTATAATTAGCATTTATACATGCTCTTGAGTTCATGATGCTGTGCTTTGAAACTGTATGATATACAATTACCACAAACACTTATATTTTAAAAAATGATATTAAAATACATCGGGGTAGGTATTCCATAATGGATCGTATAGACTGACAAGTTTTGAGAGGCGCAAATAGTATCCAATACTCAGCATGGATGTGGGACAGATTGTCCATTTACACAAATGTGCATAAATAAATGAACGATGGCTAGGGCTTTTAAAATTCATTTAATGTTACAGAAAGATTATAAGGTCAAGCCGTGATGATTTTGATGATTTTAATGAGCTCTACTATACATGATTTACAAAATATACTTTAAAACGAAAGAACCGTCATAGGTTTTATCAGATTACTTTGCAAAAACACTTTCTTGATTGTACAAACCTTTTCTAAAAAGTTAGTGGACTCTTTGAAATTATTAGGGAAAGAGTCAGTGTGTTATTCAGAATGCCAATGCGTGTGTATTTATTAGAGATCCATGTTTCTTCCTCGTCTGATAAGTCTTATCCACTGATATTTTCTTTTGTTCCGATTTTTTGGTTAAAAAATGACTTATTTACTTAAATTTGGTAATTTTCGAGTCGATGAGTGCATCCTGACAAAAGTATCGATGATGTAACGTATCGAATGAAATAACTGTCCCACCTGCCGGTTTATGCGGAAACCAAACTCCCTCTGGTGGTAATAAATTCAAAAATTACAATATGACCATTTTTGTATTTAATAAATTTCTGTCATAGCCTATTTTGCACCATTAACTTATCAGATCTCAATCTTATCATGGTGTGTATCCAAAGCTAAGATGTGTGATAGAGCCATTCAAAGGCCAAATCTGAACTGAAGAAGTAAATATCATAGACTTAAGTTAAGAAATTGAGGATTTGAATCTAAATCATTACATTATGTATTTGAAATGTGAAACGCTCTCATAAAGACAGATCTTGATGCTCCGTTAAGTTTCTGAGAGTGGTTTGTGCTGGTATCTGTTGCATTTTTTCCTTTTTTGTTTTGGTTGGCTAGCTTGATTTTTTCTTCTAGTTGCTATCGCATTTATACTAATCTATAATTCAACTTGCTCAGATTTGCATTTGTCTTGATTTTAAATATATAAACCCTCCGAAAGAGATTTCCAAGAATTGTCTCCAATAGATTTCTTTAAAGGCATTTTGTAAAGTAGAAATTCAGAGAAGAGGTTACAGAGTTTTATAGATCTTACTTTTATTAGATTTGAATTTGATTTCCGTACTTTCGTTATACATACATGTATGTATTAAACGGATACAGGGATATTATTAAAAATACCGAAGATGTCTATTGTCGTGTTGATCATGAAAAACTGTAAATCCGGATCCGTCGTGATCGAAGTGTCATTGGACCGAAATAACTTCCGGCGAACTGAATGACATTTTCTGAGTCTGATTAAGGAATAGCCATCTCGGACCGAATCTGACACATCAAGTAGTGTTTGAATCTGACACATCAAGTAGTGTTTGAAACTATATCCCATAATTTTTGCATTTAGATTCTTCATCGACTCCACAATTATTTATATTTTATAAATATTAAGAAATTCATTTATAAAGATTTGTTTCTTGATTAAGTAGTTAAAATCAATAAAATCACTTCTAATGTTATTCTTCTTTATATATATACACAATGAATTGAATGATAATCACAAAAATGATTTATAACAATTAGACCGTTTACACACGTCTATCTTTGTTGGCACGTTTTTAGATCGGAGGTGTTTGACATTCTCGCCGAATTACGAATTTGAATCTAATGCGTAAACAAGTAATTGCATCATTATAGCACATTTATTATTGCCTTGCGGCTATCAATAAGTATGTTTACTAATCAATAGTCAAATTGAAATTTTGAATGGTATGTAACATGCACGAATGATTCATATACTGTAGACTCAAGCGTTTAAATTGGTTTACTCGCAATGGGTAAAGAATTCAGAATGACACGTTTGAAAGTGAGGTCTTATTCAAATATATGTCACATTAAATATAAATTATAAGGATTATACATGTATGAGAGTTACATAATAAGACCAGACTCTACATGTAGGCGGAGTTTGAACGATATAAGATGATATTTTAATCGGTTCATAGGTAGAATTATATTTCATAACGTTTACGATGTACGATTTCGTAAAACTTCTGATTTTTGTAGTTTTGGTGTCCTGTGTTTATGGACAAACGGGAAACTTTGTCAATAGACAAGGACAGACGAGATCCCAGAATTTCGGACAGTCTCATCCATGGGAACCAAGTTATAAACCAAGCGTGGACTACACATCACACCTGTTGGAAAACCATTATAATCAACTTGCTCAAAATCAACAAAAAGGAATTCCACCATACCAGCCAAAATATTCAGATCAGTATGGATCGGGATTTTCGAATCAACACCAAATTGGACCTGGATTTACCGACCAACGACTACAACAACACAAGATACATCACCAGCAGGTTGCCATAATACCGCCACCCATGAATACCTACTACAATGGACCTATTGGGGGATTTGGATTCGGAGGATCCGGTTTTGATGCACCAGGAATCGGATTTGGCGTTCATCACGCTCCGTTCTATAGACCAAATGTTGTTTCTCCCATGTTCGTGAATTATGAGCGACCAACGTTCATGGACAAGGTTGGACACTTCGTGAAAAGCGATGCCGGGAAAGCCATTGGAGCAAGTAAGATACTAGAATTTATATATAGATGTAATACTTATGTGATAAGGTATGTACATATTCAAATTATTATCATTTTCTTTCGTGATTATAATCTAGAAATTAAAGGAAAAAATTCAAGCCAGTGTTGCAAAAAATTTATCTTTCTTTTAATAGTGGCGGTAGGAACTCTTTTAGCCAAAGCTGTTAACAACTAACAAAGTATATATATGTAAGTAGATTCTCAACTGACATGTACTGCTGAGAACGTACCAGAAAACAAGTTTTAAATGTGTTTTTTTAACAAATAAAATTTTACATAAAGTCCTTTTATCTTTCAGGAATAACCTGAGTACAATTAAAAACGACAATAAGAATTAGCCATCATCCAGGTATCCTATCGTTCGATCATCTTACACTGTTATAATTCTACTGTTGTTTTCAATAAATGCTGAAGAAAAATAAATAGAGGATATTCAATGTTTTGTAGATGAATATGGAATTTATTTCACGAGTGGGACAGGATTTTTTTTATATTTTCACGAGTGCGAAGCACTCGTGATAGAGGTAAAACTGCAAATTTCTCCCCAAATATGTTGGGAACAAACCTGCTTAAACAATAACAATGAGAAAAACATGTCTAGGGTTTGTTTTTTCATTGACATATATTTTTTTTTCTTACCAATAATTCAACCAGAGTGAAAGCAGAAGCTCCGGACGACCATCAATTATTACGGACTAAATAAAGTTGACCCGCGTTGCATACATCGGTACTGCATGATGCTAAGTCAACCTCTATGACACATGTATATTTTACACTGGGGTAGCAACAGCACACATTTTTCTAAAAAAAAAAAAAAAAAAAAAAATAGAGAATCGTTTAAGAAAAGAGACGGTTTGGTTTTTGGAATGTTATATGTGATAACAGAGAAAGAAGAGTAAACGCTTCCCGATCTTTTCACATGCGAAAACATCTCCGGCTGACGTGACGTTAAAATGACGTAGCGATGCTGCTCCGGGTCGATAGACATATGCATGTTTATAATTTTATCGGAACTTATCTAATTATCCTATAAATAAGAAATTTTGCACATTTGTTTTATACGTTCTTTATAAAATGTTGACGAATTTTCATGAATTTAGCACTGTCCTTTATGGAGTTAAAGTAAATGTCTCAATGATTTCTGAACAGCCCTCGTACATTGTAAAAAAAAAAAAAAAAAAATACCGTACACATTTTGAAGAGTGGCCGTCATTATAAAGAAAATTATAGCATGTGTTCACAAATAGCCCTCGTACATATGGAAAAAAGTTAAAATACTAGTAACGAACAGTGGTCGATCTAAAAAAACCTACACACTATATAAATCTGTGATCATTTGATAAATAATGCCATGAGTTATGACAATTAATTTCCTGGATGGGTTAGATTTGCGTTTACTTGATCCATTTTATTAGGCTTTGGTATTATTATATTCCCGTCAAACTGAATATTAAACCGTTAGGTATGATATTTTGCATTGGAGAAAATACATGTACTAGTGATAACAATAAAAAAAAAATGTCAGTAATAAATTAACATATACTGGGACAGCTAAGTCCCGTAGGAAACAATTTCATTTTGGAGAGGGGTGGGGGAGGGGTCAGTTAAACAATGCACAGATCGTTTTCTAGGTTAACCTTAATGACTGCATATTTCATCCGTATAACAAATTCCTTAAGTATACGAGGGCTGTTCAATAAATTATGTCCTGAACTCTATAACATACAACACAGAAAATATTTTACATTAACCTTGAATTTCTCTCATGATTGAATCTTTATTAAATTGATAACCGTTTATGTGACCACATTTCATCATATTGTTTCATTGCGAGAAACTGGAAAACATGGTTATTGGAGACACTGCGTTAAAAATGAAGGGTAAAGTATCATTTAACAAGAGTGAAGTTATACGCCTCAAGTAAAGCTGCTGTAAAACTTGTTAAGAATGCAAAAGAAATATTAACTGAAATATGTGATGTTTACAGCAACTAATGTTTGTTTTATAGACACTCGAGCAGGTGGATTTCAATGATCAAAAATGGTAAAATGGGCATACAAAATGGGTACCGTCCTTGGCGACAAGGACTTACAAAACCAATGTAATACTTGCCAAAATTCGACAAATTATCATTGATGATGTTTAAATTGACTTTAAGACGCAGATTTGGTAGGCATAAATTTGGGAGTAGTTCACACTGTTTTAAAGATACATTTGACAGTAAAAAAGCTTTGTACTCAATGGTCACCCTAGCCCTATGTTTTGACAAATGAGTGAAAACGACAGCGTGTAACAATATCCAAACAATTGTTTTTAAAAATCAGAAATTGTAGTTATCCACGTGTGTCTCAAATTCTAATAGATAATGAAACCTGAATCCATTGTTTTGAAGTCCAAAGGAAAATTTACAAAAAGATGCACATGACCAAAACAGCAAAGGTCTGATAAAAGCAAAGAATTGGAAGAGCACAAAGGAAGTTGGATATGCCATTTTCTTCAATAGTGGTGGTCTTCTTGTTCAGATTCTTATTTGGGGAGGCCGTTTTATTTCTGAACGAGTCTAGAAAGCAAAAGTTTTGAAAAAAAAAAATCGAAAGGTTTATGAGAAGGAAACAGAATCAGGAATCTACTACATTAATTTTCTTCATGACAGCGTCCAAACCCACACGTCCTGAACAATAAAAGAGTATTGGGGATAAACAGAAAATTAATGTTTTGTCACACCAACATTCGCCAGATCTTTCATCGTACGACTTGTTTCATTTTCCAAACTTGAAAAAACACCTTTCAGAAACAAGAAACAAATCCAGGAAATCATAGGATCTGTCATATTCCAGTATACGAAGGGCATACTCCAAAATATGCTCTTAAAACAATAAGGAATTGGATAAATAGAGGATATTCAATGTTTTGTTGTTGGATATGGAATTTATTTCACGAGTGAGACAGGATTTTTTATATTTTCACGAGTGCAAAGCACGAGTGAAAATATAAAAAAAAAATCCTGTCTCAATAGTGAAATAAATTCCATATCCAACTACAAAACATTGAATTTTCTGTTTATTACATTTTCTTTGACTTTTCCCTTTGCCCCTGTCATAGGCTGTGGCGTCATAGTTGTAGCAGTTGAGAAGTTATAGCTTGGCAGTTTGAGATTGAAAACATTGTAACATGGATTTTAGCAACATATTTGGGAAGAAATTGGCAGTTTTGATCTCTGTCAAGATAGTTTAGTTTCTATCTCAATCTTGTTACAGGCCAGAAATTATATTTTATTAACTTTGATATCCTTTCACACTGTGAGAAAATATCATTTTGGTATCCTTTCACACTGTGAGAGAATATCACTTTTATTCAATAAATAAATCACAGTATTTCACTGTTGAAATGTAATAAAAATTGTGACAGACATGTGTTTCAACTAAAGGAGCATATTTAAGGGAAATCATTAAGACAAAATCATTGAAAAGCGTTTTTTGTTTCTTTCCGAGTACCGAGGACATAATTTACTGAACAGCCCTTGTACATTGCGAATTGGCAATATGGACATTTTCATTCAAGTATGACTACCAAATGTATTTAGGGAACTTCAAGTATAAATTACAAAATTTACCTTGGAGGTCAAATGTTTCCGATGAATTTAGTTTCAAATGTAATTAACCACAAAATTTATATCAGTTCAATATTTAAAAAGAATTAGATCTTTGAAAGTTCGCTATACAAGATGTAAATTTAGCTATTTTTAACTTTTACGGGTATCAAAATCAGTATAAGATATCCGTAAATTCGCTATTTCCAAGTTCGTTATATCCGTAAAATTTTACAAGCAGTTGTTCAGAATTTTGCCGGGGATTGCAATAAACTTCGCTATATCCGTGTTCGAACTAAATGAGTTTTACTGTAATGCACATAAAGGTGGTTTTTGAAAAACATTTATTTTAAATTCATATTTTGTGGGTCTGGAAAAAAAACACTTTCAAGAATATTCTACAATATACTTAGAAATACAGAGGAAAACGACCTCTTTCACCATAGAACATCTATGCTGGCGTGGAATTTTTCAAATTAAATTCATGCTTTAAGTATCGCAGATAGCATCAAAATTTTCATAGCTCCATACTTCAGAGCCATATAATAAAACTGGTACTACAACTTAGTACAGCTTTGTCAAAAAGACCCAAACTGGCAATCAACTGGTATAATTTTAATTTGTCTAATTTTTCTTATAATGCCATACATTGCTTTTTATCCTTGTTTATATGATTTTTTTTCTTTTTTAAACAAAAGGAATCTTTGCCAGAAAATACAACCCTAAATATTTAATTTTTTAAACATTTCTATAAACTTAGTTGTCGTCTTAAAATTTTCTTTTCAACTTAGACCTTTATAATAGGCCTAGAATCTTGTGGGTTTTTTTTTTTAACATTCACCTTCAACTTCCGTTGTAAACATTTAAACATTTTTTTCTTTACAAAAGGAACCTGTTCCTAAAAAAACAACCCTAGATATGATCTTTCTTTAAAACATTTCTATAACTAAGTTGTCGTAATAAAAAAAAATTAAACATAAGGCCCTTTGAAAATACTAGAATTTTATGTTTTTCAACATTCACTTTCAACTTCCATTGTAAAAAGAAATCTATGTTTCGTTAAAGGCAGAGATTTTTTACTGGGTAGATGTTGAAGTTCATCTGCTGAATTAGCCATAATACAGTGTCATCTGCATAAAAAAGAACCAGCACTTCAGAATACATTAATACATGTAATTCGTTCTTAATGGTATTTGTAATACTTTGTAAGCCTACGCATACACCATTCTTGTTCAATAAAAATTCTTCAAGATCATTTAGAATTATTGAGAATAAAAATGGTTAAAGATGTTCTCCCTGCCTTACTCCGACATAACAGATAAGAAATTCTGTCGATGTGCCATTCATTTTCACCATAGACTTCACACCTTTGTACATATTTTGAATATATTGAAAACATTTGCAATTTATTCCACTTAAATGCAACATAGTCCAAAGCCCATACCGCCACACGGTTTCAAACGTTTGTTTAAAATATCTTTTGCTTTAAAAGATTTGATAAAAACTGTAATGTTAGGATATAACTTAGTGTTGCATAATTTTTCCCGAAACCCGCTTGAATTTTTTGAAGTATATAGATATTATTTGCAAAATCTTCCAGTCTATTATTTAGATTATATGTGAACATATTTTCTAAGCAACTAATATATACATATATAAATATATATATATATATATATATATATATATATATATATATATATATATATATATATATATATATATATATATATATATATATATATATATATATATATAGGGCTTTATGGTATATGTTTTAAATTGATACCTTATTACTTATATTTACATTTATGACTCATTCATATTATATATTAGCCTGATTATAACCTTTAACGTGTGAAATGTTTTATTTTTTTTCAATCTCAACGGCACAAGTTTGATATCTATTGATTGCGCGTCGACCTTTTATGACGTCACTGAGAAATTACGTCGAACATTTATGACGCGAGGAACCCGTGTTTATACAGATATAGATACACGTTGCTTTTAATAGTGTTATATAAAAGAAAACATTTGCAAATGTAAATATATTATCATAAATATCTCAATATCATACACGTAAGCTGGATTAGATCGATTAAATGTCAAAATATATAAATTAAATAAAATCGAATGCAAAGTTTAAATGTCTCACAGTCTAGTAGTCTTACACTGACCTGAGAAATATTTTAAAGTTTCATATTAACCAGTGCTAATAACTTTTTTTTCTCTCAAACTCGAGTTTCTTAAATTTTGAAGAGATACGAGGTCTGCGGAGTATGGCATGAAATCCCTTTTTATTCAAAAAAGAGATATCGCTTTAAAGAGATTATATACTTTCTTTTTTCCCTTTTTGCTTAAAGACACAGTACGGCGCATCTCATCAAAAACAGACTTGATAAAATTTTCCGATAGGATGTGGATTTTTTTTTACTTCTCATGAATGTATAAACTTTTAGAAAATTACAAGTTTCGTAATTAAATAATCTTGATTATTTTATTAAAATTAATAATTATTTATGGACCATAAATATATACATTGTAACGTGTTAGGGGTTCCAAATTCCATGCTATTCACGCACGTGTAATTATTATAAATAAAACAGCATGGTAAATGAGCGTAGCCCGGTAGTCCTGCTACCTTGATAAAGTCGACCAAAAAGAAAAAGAAACTGAATATAAAGGTTGAAAAAGCAAATTTCCTTACCAATTTTAAATGGGGGTATTAATATAATAGTTGGATGGGGAAGAAATGGCAACTCGGCGACGCTCACACAGGGCTCGAGAAGGTTCTCCTCGACAGGTTTGGTGATACATGTTATCATTTCTCATATCTCCATCACTTTTCAAGAAAAAAATAATCAATGTAAACGTAACATAAAAATACACCTATGATGTATAAATATTGCCATTTAAAGTGCAAATTTTAACGGAACTGTTCTGAAAATGTTTTTTGACGTTTTGCCGCGATAAAGTATAATTTGATGGTTTTTCCCTTCTCAGACACCAGTACACAAAACGTCAGCGTTTGTACCTTCAGTTCTTTAAAATTCGTCTGAAAGCAGTTTAAAAATGATCACAATTAACAATTTTTCGGAAGATTTATGATATTTTGCTTTTGAGAATTGCTCTTGCCGTATATTCCATTATAATTGTAAATTCTACAGTTTAGCCACGTGCCATTCAGAATTCACATGGAACAAACAAAAAGATATACATGCAAGATTGCTCCGGTTTGTACGACCCTTGAATTTCCGACAGATTGTACTTGTAATTATTTTAATTTTGTATGAGGAGAGAATATTCATGATTCTTAAACTGTTGACATCATCAACTTTTATAGCTTATTTGTTAATAATATACTGGGTAAGTTTGAATGAAAAAAACACGTTTTGCAGCCGTACTGTCGTTTTCTCTCTTAAACCTAGGTAGATAACTCTTTAACTTAAGAAATATCCCTTTAACCAAAGGAGATAACTCTTTAAACAAAGACTTTCGAAAAATAAAAAAAAAAATAAAAAGAAATAAGGAATTAACAAGAATATGGACTTGTACGTTTTAGGTTCGCTTTGAAACACGCACAGAAAAGGCCCATGCCAAATGAATTAGAATAGCCCAAGTGTTTCATTACGTTACATGTATAAACAAAAGTAACTGTTACGAAACACATTTGATAACGGTAAATAGGTACTGAACCACTCAACCATGTATAAACATACGACTCAAATTCCATTGGGAATGCTGATTTTCCAATAAAGTAAATGCATTCCCTTTTCTGGGAAGAAGAGGAGACTTATTTCTGTCTCATTCTTCCCTCCAGTGAACAAATGCAACAGAATCTGGTGAAAAGTATTTTTTTACACAACCGGGAAGAGCTTGGTTACACGAAATTGGGAAGGTTATAAGCAAATAAACTTAATTAAATAATTTTTCAGATTTGAAAGTATAAAAGAAATTTAATTTTTACTTGTCATGGATTCTCCACCCCCCTCTTCTTCCTGAACATTAGGTAAACTCATTTCTGCAGGAATTTCCTTTTAGAGAGGAAGGAAGTGAATACAGCAGATAAAATACAATCTTTTAAAATACAATTTTCAGGAGCAAGGTTTAAAAATACGGAAAAACATTGTAGAGGGAAGACAATATTGTTTTGCAGAAAACAAACTTGAAAACTGACTGGAATGGGTAAGTTTTTAAGTCCGTTTCTTGATGTGCTTCATTTTTTTGGGAAATTTGAAATTTAGGCATTAACCCTGAAATAGACCCTATTGTTGCCGGCAAGGTAGGAAAACTCTAGGTATACAAATATATATTTATTTCATTATTTACAGGTTTTATTTTGTCAGTCTTATTTTGCGCAACATTTTCCTGGAATATTCTGGCAGATGAAATGTCTATTGATTTGAAGAGAGGTACATCTAAAGAAATGTACTTATCTACCTAACAACAAAAAAAAAAATCGTTTTCTTTACAAATACTTAGATGCTAGACAAATGTGTCGACGAGACACATGTACATGCATGGAAATGCATGTTCAATTTTCAGATAAAAGAATTTCTTTATTTAAATCTACATAAAACAGCACATAAACCTACTTGATGTGGAGTAACTGCTATTCATTCTTTAAGATTTTTGTCTTCTCATTAGTAAACAATAAAATTTGTTTTCAAAAAGACACTTATGTGCCTTTTTGTTTTGGAATCCGGGAAATACTTTTTACATCCAAAGTCCAAATGTGGATCTAAAGATTAATTAAGTTTGTAAAACTGTTTCTTCTTATTTCTTTAAAAAGAACATTTTCAAGTATTTATTTACTTTATTTCTGCAAAGAGAAATGTGATAATGAAATTTTAAAAATTAAAACTTCTTAAATCAATATTTTATAGGTATATTGCAGGCACACTTTCATGTATTTTGAATCTCTAAATTTTTCTGCAGTTACATCGATAATCTACATCCTCATTTAAGCTTACATCGATATGGTTTATATGTTAAAAAAGAATCTGTATCCCTTTCATTATTCAGTTTATTATTTCAGCTTCAAAATACTGGCTGTGCAATGGTTGTACACACTCTGATGAACATAGCCGTAAGAAATGTGTGCAGTGCGGGAGCAAGAATGGTCCTAGAGGCGACAACGGTTGTACTTACATATTATTATGATTGAAATGTTTGCCAGATAATCTAAAGATTTCAAATCCGAATGCAGGCATTTCTTGATCTATGATCGAATTTGAAGCCGATTGCTATACTATATAGCAATACATTAAAAAAAATTATATTCAAATTTATTCCAATATCCATGAACACACACATTTTTTTATCGGAAATGAAAGAGGAGGATAATGAAACTGAACACCGCATGACAGATCTATTCTTTTAAAAATGCCATTATAATTAACCCTCTGGTTACATCATTATACAGTTATTGACTGGGTATGAGGGCAACTTCTGATTTGTTGGACCTGAAGGTGAAAATACTGCCCGACGCCGCAGGCCAAGGGGAACATTTTCACCTTCGGGTCCAACAAATCATATGTTGCACTCCTACCTAGTCTATGACTGTTTTGTTATACCCTTCACTTAAGAACATTAAAATCAAAACCTAGCTTTATACAGACTTACTCATATAATTAAACAATTTCGTTTTAAGTAATATTTTGGCTTTTTAAATAAAAATAACAACAACAAAGAATGAACAAGATGTGTTTGTGAAACACTGATGCCCCCGTATGGCAACTTTATAGCAAAGGTTTAACTTTCTCAAATGCAAATCAGATACCCAAAGTAAGATCTTGTCTCGAGGAATAAACCTGTGAAATATGAAAGGCCTAGCAGCAACCATTGAATAGATAAGGAAAGGGTTAAAGTAGTTTTTTTCAAAAGTATGTCAAACATCAAGGTCAAAGTAAAATGGTCAAATATAATGGTGCCAAAGGAAAGGCCTTCTCCCAAGAAATACACATGTTAAATATGAAAGCTGAAGCACCAATCGTTCAAAAGTTATGGCCAAGGTTAAAGCTTTCCAAAAGTAGGTCAAACTCCAAGGTGAAAGGGTAAAAGTTGTTGGTATCCAAAGGAAGGTCTTGTCACAAGAATTACACATGTGAAGTATGAAAGCCGTAGCACCAACCGTTCAAAAGTTACGGCCAAGGTTAAATTTTGGTAAAATTTTGCAAAACTGGGTCAAACTCCAAGGTCAAAGTTCATATATGGTGGTATCCAAAGAAAGGTCTTGTCATAATGAACACTCATGTCAAATATTGAAGCCTCACCCTTGACAGCGCAATAGTTATGGTCTAGGTTAAAGTTGACAACAGACAAACAGACAGACAGAACAAAAACAATATACCTCCGGGATCTTTCGATCCAGGTGCATAAAAAATAACCATGAAATTATTATAACAGAAATTATTTATCACAAAACATTATTTTTTCTGTGACACCATCTTTCAAATAGCATACGCGGTAACTCTTGAAACTGAACGACGACTAATTACTTGTGACGTATCAGTGACGTTGCGGTCTAACAATTCTTATGTTGGACTGACAGATGAAATTCCTAGACCCATGAAAAAACATTTACTTTGTTGGACTTTTTATTTGTAATTAATAAATATAGAAAGATATTTATAAGGGTTATATCAATGAAAGATGTTCCTTCTGCATGGTATTTGCTTTATGACTGTCTAATTATTTTTGAAATAGACCCATGGGATTATATTGACGAGTTACTTATTTATATGAAAAATTTGCTCAATATGTCAATGATTAAATATATATAATTGATGCATAACAACTCCTCTATTTCCAGAATTTACAGCAACATGCGTTTACTGTTATGATAACAGATAAAGCTATGTAACTTGACCATGTATAAGTAGCTTCACAGGCTATATGCGTATGAAAAATTAAAGGAAACAAAACATTATAAATAAACAATATCAAAGTAATCATTGATTTATCTGAAAAAATGTCAATAATGATTAGAGCAACTTAGTAAAATTTATGATAAATAAAATTGACAATTTGCGAAATACTTTCATGGATAAGCAACTTCCAAAAGTGGACAAGAATCTACACATCAACACGAGGATTTATCCTAACAACACGAGGAATTTTTTTTCATCAAAATCCACGCATAACTATTAATACTCTGAGTAAACATCTTCAAGACACACGGCAAAATCGTATAAATTTGAAACTTTAAAATTCAGGCCAGATTTGATGAAGGTATCCCTGGCAAAACATAGAAATACCTTATACAGCACTGCTAAGTCTAAATGAAGACGGCGGGGCTTAATTAATTATGCAGGAAATATTTACTGTGACATCAAAGAAAAAAAGCGATTCCTTACAATACCAGAAAATGAAATAATTTACGATTTTAAACTGTTTATAAGTAATCAACTACATTTAAAAAAGTACTGCCGGCTGCTTTCGTGAAATAAAGAGCATTACTTAATAAATACATAAAATACTTGGCCCAGTAAGTTGAAATTTAAACTAATAAAATGCAAATTCTATTTAAAGCAGCAGCACTTTCCAGAAACTACAAGCTTTGTAAAAACAATTTATCACTTAAATTTTTACGGTAATCTGAATCAGGATAAGCCCTTGCGATACTGAAATTTGTTTATGACCCCCATGCAGTACATATTGTATGCATTTATCATGCACTGACTGTCAAATAAGGTGACCAAACTAAATTCAATACAGACTGTGGTATACATTCTTATTTCAATTAATATTTAAATCATGTGATAATATTATTGTTTTACAAAAATAAATTCAGTTTAAAAATGTATCTATTTCTGCATTTCTTTATTCCGTTGATTTCTTCCTTAACTTTCCTTCTTCCTAGCCGCGAGACTATGCACGTAGTTAACAAATATTAACTATAGTTTGATATAGTATCAACATTTTAATATTTTTATCAATGTTTTACCTAAGTGAATCTAAGTATTTTTACTTTCAATTTTAAATTGTTATATATTATTTGCATTTTTTTAAATATAAAAATAAAATATTACCTGTATTCAAAAGTATATAACATATTGCTTTCACAAAATTGTATGGAATTTAAGAAATATTAATGCTCCAAATCTCAAAAATGTTCTAAAGCAAAGGGTCATAGAAAACCAAAGGATCAGTTATTTTATTACTATAGTAAACTGTGGTTAACTACAGTAAACTATTGTTAACTAAAGTAACTTAACTATTGTTAATTAAGTAAACTGTTGTTAACTACAGTAAATTATTGTTAATTATAGTAAATTATTGTTAACTAATATTAACTTTGTTTGATATTATCCAAATCTTGATAGCTTAATGTCTTTAAATGTTTTATCAATTTTATTTTTTATCGTTCTAATCTTCTTTGCTTCAACAGATTTTTATGAATATATGTTTTGAATATCCTCATTTGAATATTATTCAACATTTTTACTTCATTGAATACTAGAATCTTTACAGAAAGCTGTATTACAAGTAATATCAAGACTCATAGAGAGATCATAACCGAATAGATATCATTTGTTTTGTCTCTCAGGATTTAATCATAATTATCATTTGTTTACAGATATGTGGTCCTGCCCCCATTGTACCTTTAGCATCGAAGGATACAAGTCAAAATGTTCAATCTGTGGGTCACAAAAAGGTAAGAATTTCCAGAAATTGGAAATGATGGATGTTAGCAAAGCAAAAAAAAAAAAAGAAAAAAAAACCTAAATGACGTGACTATGATCATTAAACTTACTGAACAAGAGGATGCAGACTTATCCACTTTTGAAAATGTTAGCGTTGGATATATTTTCATTGGTAATTTTCAGGGTTCTGGTTTCGGGGGACACAGCGAAAGAAGACGGAGAGGGGGACGCTCGAAATACGGAAAAGCGACTGATGAGGAAGTGCGCATCGTCCTTCTGGGAAAAACTGGAACGGGTAAAAGCGCTACCGGGAATACCATCTTGAATGACGATTTCTTTGACTCCACAACATCTGGCACTTCTGTGACATCGCGTTGCACCAGCAGACATGCCCATAGGTTTGGCAGGGACATTCAAGTTGTGGATACACCAGGGATATTTGATACCAACGTCCCAAATGATAGAGTTCAGAGAGAAATTGTCAAATGTATCGGAATCACCGCCCCGGGTCCACACTGTTTTCTTCTTGTCTTCGGACTTTCCCGTTTTACGCAAGAAGAAGAGGAAAGCGTTAACCACTTTGTCAGTTACTTTGGAAGGAAGGTTTTTCGACATTTCGTCATCCTCTTTACAAGAAAAGATGATCTGGATCACCACAGCTTGACATTGGATGATCACATTCGAACTGTTCCAAAGAGTCTGCAATCAATCATACAGGAGTGTAACAATCGCTGTATTGCCTTCAACAACCGAGCTACAGGGTCCGAACGACAAGATCAGGTAGAAGATCTTCTAGAGATGATCGACGACATTGTTCGCAAGAATCATGGAGATTGTTACACAAATGATATGTACTCTGAGGCTGAAAAGGTTATGAAACAAAGACAATACCAAATAAAAGGGAAGAAAAGGGAACGACAACGTGAGCGAGAAAGAAAAGAAATCGAACGTGAAATAGAGCAGAAGTACAAACGCCAAATGAGCGGTCACTCTCGAAACCAAAATGCACTAGAAAATCGAGTTACAGAGCTGGAATCTAAACGAGACTACTATATGAGTCGGTCTTCAGAACTGAACAAGGAGATCCATGAGCTCGAGGACGAGATAGAAAACGAAAGAAGACAACATGGTTCTCCTAGCTCCCATCTTTTAAAGAAACTCAGGAATTTAGAAGACGAGCGTACTAGATTGGGATCCGGAAAAGAGAAGGAAATGGAGGGGGAGATAGAAGATCTCAGACAAGAGCTCAAACGCATGCACAAGCACTCAAAAAAAATGACAAAGGAGAAAGACAGAATGTATCAAGAAAAGCTGGAAGAGCATGACCGGAGGTTTAGAGAGATGGAGAATGCACGTCACGAGGTAAGGCAGGAAGTAGAGACTGGTTCCGGTAATGTGGGAGAGGCTCTTCTTGGTGGTATGATGGTCATAGGGAAGCTAATATGGAAAGGAATACAGATGATCTTTTAATAGTTGAGTACTTCAATTTTCAGCTGCATTTAAATATTTTTTATAGACAAATGGGAAGACCAAGCACTTTTATTTGGAATGAAAACTGTTTTGTTTAATTGTTATTCTACTTTCTACATTACTGTACATTATAGAATTAAAATATTCTGTAAATTGTTATTGTACTTTGTACATCTATACTTATAAATTAATAAATTTTGCAAATAAACTCCGAGACGGGTGCACCAGAGTTCTTATTAATAAGAACTCTGGTGCACCCGTCTCGGAGTTTATTAACTCCTCTATGAAAACACAAGATGATGTCCATAAACTTTATTCAGATTTCACTCGCAAGGTAAGTATCGTACATTACATTAAAAGTCTATTCTCATTTTCTAACAACAGCCATGAAATAGCAAAACGGTGAGTACGGTGACGTTCCATTTGGAGTTACTGACAACTTTTAATGAAAGTGACAACAAGCAATAATCATTTCTTTATTTCATAAAACGTCATCACTGAATTAATCAATCAAAACATGATTTAAAAGAACTGTTGTTATAACCGATTAAAAAGGGGAATGTGCAAATTGTTTTCCTCATTCACCGATCTTAATATTGACGGAAACTTCTAGAACATCATATAGCATCGAGCCCGATTTTAAAACGAAAAACGAGGCGATTATAGCTGCATGAACATAAAAAAAGCTTCTGTGTGAATGGTCATTTAAATAATGGTAAATCATTGATAACACTATAAGTTGTGAATATATTTATATATCGAAAGACTATTAGTAGGTTTTCTTAATAAATTTGTATATTCCTCACTGTGAGCATACTGGCAACAAACCTGAAGTACAATTTGTACTTCGTAATACATTTGCTTACATGAAAAGAGAAAATTAATGAATAAGGTATTGTTCAAATACAATTAAAGCTGTAAAATTTTTGTGCTTTAATCAACACATTTCAGTTTTTTTTCTGAATACAGTCTTTTGTATCAAATACTTGGCCTTTTCATAGGGCGTTAAAAGCTAATGTTTACCAAAAAAAAAAAAAAAAAAAAAAAAAAAAAAAAAAAAAAAAAAAAAAAAAAGAAGAAGAAGAAGAAAAATCATTTCATCATTTAAATGTGCATATTCACTGCTTTTATCCTTGACAGAAATGAAATTAGAGCTCCTGAAGTACAATATCCATGACATTACATAGTATAACAGGTTTCACAATAAACGTCAATTAATGAAATTGTTATTTTTCAACTTTTTACAAAGGGGGGGGGGGGTACGTCTACTTCTGCTCCAAAGCTAAATGCAAGATTTTGAACAAAGTATTTGTTCCTGCTACATGTAAAAACCTGTAGCATGTCAGTAAAAACAACAATATATACATTATGTATTACTGGAATTTTCTGTCGGTAGTTGTATAAATTTCTACAAAGTCATTATCTATCATCCCTGAAAGTTCGTTGATTCTATCTTTAACCGTTCTTTTTTAAAACCGCTTGCGCTTTAAGAATAGAGCTGTCCCTGAAATATCACAGTGCAGCAGCAATAGTAACTTCTCTGAACTACCTAGATATGACGTCATAATAGCATATGACGTCATGTTACTGCAAACTTGAGCTGACATGACGGGGAGAGTGTCAAAAATTTTACATTCCTGTCTTATGACATGTAAAAAATAATTTAAACTTGATGTTGAAGTCAGCTGTCTGGATTGTTTATAAACTTCAATATAATTGTGAAAATTTGCATTGACATCATGATTTCTTTCTCTTGTCTGCTATATAGCGTAATCAAGCAGAATCCGCAGAAAAAGTTAGAATTGATACATCATGTAAAAATAAGACTGGCAGAAGTGATTAATAAGGATAAATTAAAGATATTCTGTGTGAATCTACGAGAGTACTATGTTCTCTAATTGAATCTTGCTGGAGGATAATTTGAATTATAGTCTAATTTGCATAAATTGCAGTAAATTGCAATACACTCATATGTGTGGGTAAGATGTTCTCGTGAAATAAATACTATATAAAAAAAAATTCAGACTTGCCTCAGCACTTTAAATAAACAATACGATACAATTAATTTATTCATATAACAAAAAAGTTCACAATGATTTGTTTATCACTTATGCCGATGTAAGTTGTGTGCAACATATTGGAAATGTTACAAGTGACCGTCACGAGATCACGGAAGTCATGTGACATCACAAAAATATATATGTTAATCTGATCCTACCTGATAAACTATCTTCGCAAATTGGCTTTACATATATACATAAATTTCAAACTGAAATCACAACACAGACCAGTATTTTTTTAAGTGTGTGCATTTTAAGACTTCGAACAGTGTGTGCATTTTAAGACTTCGGACAGCCTTAATATAGCCGCGTGGACAAAATGTGAAATAAGAAACAGAAAACCGGTTTATTCGCAACAGGAAATAATGCTGGCAAAATTACAAAAAAAAGTTCAATCCTATAAGTAATTTCTCATTCATTGTTGAAAGTTTCATGAAAACTGTTGAGAGATCCATGAGAAACTGCCTGCACAAAATCGATTAAAAAAATTAGCCGCGCTTGTTGCAAAGCAACAAATTAGTCTTTCATCTAAGTTTCAAGGAAATGAGATCGAGAGATTCTTGACGAGAAATGACGAGATGTCAGACGTCGTCAGTAACATGTATCAATGATATCTACGCTGATTTATTACATTTATTACTACTTTCTGAGTGACCGGAAGTGATGTGATTTGACGGCATTTGATGACCACTTTAGCTGCTATTTGTTCTTTCAAACAATTTTTCTTTTATGATGCTTACTGCTTCTCAATACTTTTGGAGATACCAGGAAAATCTTTTTGTCTCCTCTAGCTCCCCAATTTAAGGGGCCAACCCCTATTTGTTATATCAGTTGAAAGACTGTGTCATTCTGTACAACTTTTCTTCTATATGTATTCTCAAAATATTTACAGGTAGAGATATATTATGAAAAGATAACTTTTTGAATAGTTTATAAGTGCAAAAAGTTAATTAGCAGGATTTTGAAATTTTAAATTATATTATTCAAACTATTTTACAAAAAAAATAAGCTCGTGTTTATTGTTTTGATTACATCTGGTAAAATATGAAAAATGTTAAAGTGATTAGCCCGAAAGTGACAATTTAAGCGCATGAAGATCAAATTATTTATACGTTGCTCGGTAAGATGCACACTGATTCCCCCATCCCCAGTTTAGTTGCGATTTTGAGTAGTCCTATATGAGTAGTTATCTAAAATATACTTCACAAAAATCTTCGATATAACTCATGTATCGAGTGACATACCTGAATTAGATCGTTGTTGAACACTAAGTACAAGAAAGTAGAGAACATCCCTCCCTGTCTCACACCTTGGGAGACAGGAAACCATTCAGAGTATGTTTAATTAACAGCAACAGGACAGGAAGTGTCAGTGTGACAGTCATCAGTGAGAGACAGCAAGAGGCCGGATATTCCCAACTTGAGTTCATGTCTCCAGATAGTGTCAAATACCTTCTGGGTATCTTGGAAGGCAACATAAACTGGACTTCCGTATTTAATATTGCGAAATATTGTCTCTTGTAAGTTGAAGGAAGCAGTGATACATGCCACCTTTTGCTGGAATCCTTGTTGTTGGGGATTGTGGAAACGATTATTTTGCAAACAGAATGTTTTTATTCTCGTGAATAACAGCTTTTGGAAACATTTCAAAGAGACAAGGGAGTAAAGCAATTGGTCTGTAGATTTTCTAGGTTTAATGCTGCCTTTGTAGATCGCAGTGATTAGATCGCGCCTCCATGTTGTGGGCACGTTCCCTATCTTTATGAAGGAGTAAAAAAGGTGAGCAAAACATTTAGTTAGGCATAATCCTCCGTAAATAAAGGGTTCATTCTGAATGCCATTGAGCCCTGGGACTTTTCTTCGCTTGATGGTAGAAGTGATAGGATGGATCTCCTCGGGAGTTATTGAGCCTCCAGGTATCGAAGATCCCCTGTCGAAATGAATTGGTCGTTTTATTTCTTAATATGATGCATGACCTTTCGATAGTGCTTTTAAAAGGTAAATCATAATGACTACTGTCATTAAAATTGTAAACATTTTCGAGGTGTTGTGCGAAACACATACCAAGAAAATATAACCATCAATTGTCGCCCGGGAAGTAAATGAAGTAAAATTTTGATCACCAAACCGCCTCGATTTGTGGCATACGTCTGAATGATCGAGACTATAGTCGAGAAGATTTACGGAAAACTTCTAATAAGATGAAAATCGAACAAATACGATACCGTTTTAAACTTTACCATTTCCTCAAGTAACTGTTGGCTGCATATTTCTAAATTAGAATCAGACAAATGTATCACCTATCATCAAAAATATATTTGACTTAGTGAATATAAAACTCAAACGGTGTAACGTACGTTTTTATGCGACAAGTAAAATTTTATGTTCTGAAAATGGGACATGTCGTTTTGTCGATAGTAAATGATAAGCAACTTTGTATATTGCAGATGAAAAACATATATATTTTAGTGGAAGTAAATATATTATGTATCTCTTAATTAAAGGGAAAGAATCTTTTTAATGTATAGTTTACCTGAATAACTTCTACCTCAATCCCATACACCAAAACGTAAATTCAAATGTGTAGAGCAGCCCGGTTATCCGGGCTGCAATAACTTCAAATGGGTAATCGTATGTTTTTACAGTCTATTTTATTTCAGTGAAAATTCTGCAGTTTCGTGGACGTTGATGGTGAATTAATTCCCAAAACTAGCGCAGGTCACATTCGGAGACTTCGTTGATACTACTGATTACTTTTGTCATATACCGATCATACTCTTAGTTAATTAACTTGTAACCAATGTTTCTTTTAGCGCACTTGTAGTATCTGAAAGACTCGTGTCGCATTCTTCCATGGCGACCTTCACAAAATCCAAACTTGACCTTTTTTCACGTTCTAGGGAATGTAATATTTTCCCATTTGGTGTCCACTCAGGTTTAAATA